AAATTAAAGTTGAGTTTGTTTTTTTTTCTACTGTAAGACAAAAAAAAGAGTGAATCCCTTACATGGCCAGAGCCTGCCGGTGGGTCCAAAGTTTTATTACACACTTCTATAAGCTAAGAATAATACAGTCAGTTTGCATTGAAGTCCCTGTAGTTACTGAATAATAAGCCTTAGTATGTAATAAGCCTGGGATTTCAGGGGTTAAAAGTACAAATCATATATGAAAAACATAGGAAGCAGTGATGTAGATCAAATTAAGAAGATAAATACCCAAAAAAGAGATACGTGATAGAAATACATTTTCAAATGTTTCTTAAAAATGTGTACAAGTTTGACTGCCTATCAAAAGTGGAATTGAGTTCCACAGTTTAGAAGCATAATAACAGAAAGAGTCTCTCCACATTCTCTGTGTTTCACAGAAGGTGTTTGTGGAAGGCCTGTATCTGCAGATCTAAGATCACGTGCAGGAACGTAAACAGACAGACATTCTGTGAGGTACGTGGGGGCTTTAAGGCCATTTAAACTTTAAAAACTAGCAGAAGAACTTTAAAATCTGCCCTGAAATATACAGATAGCCAGTGAAGTTCTCTGAAAACACAAGTGATATGACCTCTCTGTTTTGTTTTTGTTGGGATTTGTGCTGCTGAATTTTGCAAATGCATGAACAAGTTTCTCAGCATTGCTCTGAGACAGAAAAAGCAATGAGGCAGTTAAGTTTTGTTTGCTTATTTTAGCTCGAGCTGCGCCTGTCATCATTTAGGAGCTGCCTAAGTGTCAATAACCAGGAAGCAAGATAACTATTCAGCTAAAATGGGCATTTCAGGCTTGCACTTTAATAACTGCATACAGAGCACAAAGAAAACAAATTGTTAAATTCAGTTATTTATATGCCAATTAATCATCATCTAAAACCTAGTGAGGTTTAGGTAACTATCTGGTGGGCCAAGTGGGCTAGCTTGGCGTCATGTGCCACACTTTGGGCAGCCTTGATTTTAGGGGGTTAAGCTGTACACAAGCAATCCTGTCCTGCCATAATACTCTGCATTCAAATTACCAGTCAGTTAAATAATCATAAACTGAGTTACAGTGGGCAGGCCTTTTGATGATGACTTTCAACATGCTGGCAGTGTCTGGTTTAGGCCCAGCTCTAATGTTAGTTTGATTGCATTACTATAACATTCAGTATTTCCCTTCTTAGAACAGGATGGCTTACTACATAAATAACCCCTTCAACCCTCTGTAAGCAAACAACAAATAAACAAATAAACAAACAAATAAAAAGAATAACTGTGTGTTATACAAAACAACACAACCTATAGCCTACACCCACCCACTCCCGAACCTGCATCACCTCCCTTGATTATGGGGATTATGAGTCCCACAAAAAACAAAACAATTCACACAATAAGCAGCAACAGGCACTGTTAGCATTATTGACTGTTATTTTTTTTGTTTCAGTGGTTTGAAACTGTAACCCCAGAAAGCTGTCCATGGATTTAGCCTAGTACAAAGTTGAATATAGATGGTTTCACATCATTCAGGCGGGGGGATGGTGAGCAGAGTCAGCGTGTTCAGGCTCAAGCTTACTTAGTACACACAAAAGTCATAGAGTGATTTTTAAAATGCACTGCAGGAACCCAGGGACGTGCACTATAATGGAACTTAACCGGAAGAAATGTAGAAGATTGAACATTGCCTAACAGAATTCATTCATTCATTCATAGAATAAATCAATTCAAATGGATTCATTAACTCTGAAAAAAAAAAAACATTTCTATATTATTTTACTGGTAATCAGTTTGATTCCTTAACTACAACCCCATTTCCAAGTTGGGACTCTGCAAAATGTAAATAAAACCAGAATGCAATGATGTGAAAATCATTTCAAACCCTATATTTAATTGAAAATAGTACAAAGACAACAAATCAAATGTTGAAACTGATTCTATTGTTTTTTGAAAAATACATGCCCATTTTGAATTTGATGCCAGCAACACATTTCAAAAAAGTTGTGACAGGGCTGTGTTTACCCCTGTGTTTCATCACCTCTTCTCTGTAAGTGTTTGGGAACTGAGGAGACCAACTGCTGTAGTTTTGCAATGTTTCCCATTCTTGCTTGATATAGAATTTCAGCTGCCACAACAGTTTGGGGTCTCCTTTATCATATTTTTTGTTTCATAACGCACCAAATGTTTTCAATGGCTGACATGTGTGGACTGCAGGCAGGCCAGTTTAGCATCCAGACTCTTTTGCTACAGAGCCGTGCTGTTGTAATACAAGCAAAATGTGGTTTGGCATTGTCTTGCTGAAATAAGGAAGGCTGAAAATATGGTGCCATCCCTGAAAAAGATGTCATCTGGATGGCACTGTATGTTGCTCCAAACCTGTACATATCGTTCAGCATTAATGATGCCTTCACAGATGTGCAAGTCACCCATTACATGTGCACTAATGTATCCCCATATCATCACAGATGCTGGCTTTTGAACTGTGCGCTGATAACAAGCCAGATGATCCCTCTCCTCCTTAGCCCGGAGGACGCGGTGTCCATGATTTGGAGAAACGACAGGACACTTTTCCACTTCGAAAAATCTTAAATGAGCTCAGGCCCAGTGAAGGTGGCAGCGTTTCTGGATGCTGTTTATATATGTTTTTTTCTTTGCATTGTAGAGTTTTAACTTGCATTTGTGGATGCATTGACGAACAGTTTTCATAGTGTTTTTCAGAAATTTTCCTGAGCTCAGGCGGTGATTTCCACTACAGAATCATGTCTGTTTTTAATGCAGTGCCGCCTGAGGGCCCAAAGATCGGCCAATATTAGTTTTCGGACAGATTTTCTGAATCATTTAATGATATTATGTACCATAGATGATAAAATCCGTAAGTTCTTTGTTATTTTATGCTTAGAAACATTATTCTTGTGTGTGAAATGTTGCACTTTTTGCCTACGCAGTCTTTCACAGAGTGGTGACGTCTCCCCATGTTCACTTCTGAAAGACTCAGGCTCTCTGAGATGCTTTTTTTTTTTTTATACCCAGTCATGTTACTGACCTGTTGCCAATTAACCTAATTAGTTGTGAGATGTTCCAACAGCTGTTTTTATATAAAAGTATTTTTATAGAAATATACAACTTTACTAGTCTTTTGTTCCCCTTTTCCAACTTTTTTTTAATTTGTTGCTGGCATCAAATTCAAAATAGACAGATATTTGTTAAAAACAAAGAAATTTGCCAGTTTAAACATTTGATATGCTGTCTTTGTGCTATTTTCAATGAAATATTGGGTCTAAATGATTAGCACATCATTGCATTCTGTTTTTATTTGCATTTTACACAGGGTCCCGACTTTTTTGGAAACAAGGTTGTACTTTCATAAGTCATTTGTGTATGTCAGTGGTTGATTTATTTGGTTCGGCTGACTGTTCGAACAGTTGATGTGTGAAGTGAAGAAGTCCCTTACCCTCAAGATTAAGACAGCTATTTATTTATTTATTTCTGTCTGGCTGTATTCAATGTTTTATTCTCCCCCCACTAGTGCAGTCTTACAGTTCTTATTGTGGTTTATATTGTGTGTTGAGATACTGTATTTCCCAGTGGTGGAGAGAATCAGAATTACAGGTTAAACTGTAAAATGCAGATCATTAATGCTATATGACTGTAAGTGCAGACATTATGAGTGCAAAATACAAGTAAGCAAACCTGAATGATTTTTGCCTGCAGTGTAACTTTTGGACAGTTAATATGAGTATAAAGTTATCACAAATTTCTGAGACATCTTTTGAAATTCCTAGATAGAACGCCCAGTTCGTCAAACATGCTCACATTCACAAATGCTGCAGTTACACTGATCAAATGCAGGCTCATACATCTGTTCCTGTGAGATGTAGCTTGTGTTATAAACAGTGGTAGCCATAATGGAAAAAAACACTGCTTGTTTAATCTAACACATAGCATTACTTAGAAGCTGAGATGATTTCTTGAGATAATAATCTCAGAACATACAATCACTAAATGAAAGTCACGCAATAATAATATTTTGATATAGTGTTATGGCAGGAATTTGAATATTTTTTATGCTAGAAACAAGACTCATGTTTTTCATTTACTTTGACAAAGCATGCGGAAAGTGTCGAAAAGTTTGTCTGGCTTCTGACTATAAACTCAAGAAACTGTTGTTGTGAGTTCTCATATGAATAGGCCTTGCTCTGCTACTTCCTCAAACAGGCGGCAAACCAGAAAGAGAGGAGAAAAAAAGAACGGGCAAGGAAGTGGTAACTTGCAGCACACCCTACGTTCAAAGGCCTAGAAAAGTGAGATGTGTTCAAGAGACTTTTGTAAAGTACTTAAAAATGTTTCAAGCTTTCTATCTAGTATGCCTAGAATGCAAACTTGGTTTCACATACTTCATGAATTGTTTGCATGGGAGAAATGCTCCTGCAATTTTAGCAAATTTCCAATTCAGAATTTTTTTGTGGGTGTTAAGTTCAGTTGTTCAGCAGAACGTTACTCTGTACATTCTCAGAACTAGGCTTGATATTAATGAAGTTCAGTGATTAGAACATCAAGCCTGTGAACTGAATCGACTGTGACTCAGATACTCTGAGAGATAAAAATGAGTACATGACTTGTAATGTTCAACAGTGTTTAGATATTAGTCAGAGAAGTAGATTAAGGGCATCATGTAATGCCCTGCTAAACTCTTGATTACTCAGTTTGTGCAGTTATTGTTAAAAAGTGACTATGTTCAAACCATCTCACTTAAAAAAAATCATAATTATTCAAAGGAAATTGAATAGCTGACATTTGCATTTAACTTATTTATACATAAAGTACTTTCAGATTGTGACGTGTGCATACAATGATGTAAAATGTACACTCAAGTCACTGCAACTAAAAGCAATTAGTTTTAGCCCGTCTACAGAGGCAAAAAGATAAATACAAGGAGAGGGGCAGTCGGTGTAGCTGAGGCCATTTCTTATAGAAAAGATCTTGAACTCCATGCTGCATTGTTTCTCAGTTTGAAAGGATGGTACAGAAGTGCAAGGCGAGAGATTGTGGCGTAGCTGAAAATATAACTTCCTGTTAAGAGGCCCTTGGCGCATTGCTGAAGGTGTGAGCGTTCTTGTCATTTCTCCGTCTTTCGAACCTAAAGCGAGCTTGAGGACACTGGGGAGTAAAACAGACAGGAAACCGAGCCGACCGATTAGACAGACGTGAAAACGTAAGTTGGACAAAGTAAAATTAATACACAGAATTGACAGAAAAAATAGAAAATCTAAAAAACTGTAATAATCTTAACACTGTTCAACTCTATGTTTCTAACAGGACTTATGGTGTCTTAGAAGAGGCACTTGTACCCCTGGTTATGGCGACGCTTCTTGGACTAAGATTCTTAATCTTAGTCCTGACTGGATTGGCAGTATGTAAGTACAAAATTTCTTTACCGGCATCTTTGAATGGAGGGATGTGTTGGACCTGTGCTCAGGATAAACTGTGACAAGATGCTCTTTACTTTTATTTTATGAAAATTCTTTTTTGTTGGACTGCTTTAAATTATACCACTGCTTTAAATTATACCACTGACATGACCATATTGAATCAAACCAAAAGTAAAATGTTCTTCATTTAAACAAGAAAATGTTCCTTATAGTGTAACTCTGGTCGAAAGGGAAGGGGTTGATGTAAGTGGCAAAAGTAGGATGGTTTATTGGATTAGTATGATTTTTTTTTCTAAAATGTGATTATTTTACAGAATTTAATTGTTAATTTGGGGGAAGCTTATTGAGAATGTACTTTTTTCAGGAGCATATTGAGAGCTTTAAAATGTAAAGGGGTAAATGCTGAACAATTTGGAAGGAACCTGTAGCTCATTTATAGTTTACAGCTTGCTTTCATGACAATATATTTTCTAAAATGTTTGGATTATATCCTTTGGATTCGAGATGATAGAATTAAAAAGATGGTGGTGCCCTCGAAAATCTTGCCTGTCATGGAAGCTTTGCCATGTGAAGTGTTTGTAGTGCAGTAAAGACCATCAGAACGATCTAAAATAGACATTTTAATTTGGGTTAACCTACATTTCCAGGGGTCTTGTGTGAGTTGCGATTGCTTGTTAGTGGTACCTGTGGACAGTGCTGTCATGGATAAGACGGTGTCTGGGTGTGTCCCCTGTGGCTCTGCTCTAGTTCAGGAGAGTTTGACTGATGCTTAGTAGCAGCTTGAAGGGTTTAGCTATTGGTCACTCAGAGTTGCTTTAAGCATTTTAACGTTGGGACGTTAAAGCTTTGATGAATAACTGTAAAGAGCGCGTTTTGTAACTTAAAACTTCTGAATCATGTGGGCCCAAAGATGATCAATGTTTGATGTCAAGTTTATGCTAATAATACCCATTGTGTGCCTGAATGAAGTGACGCTGAAGCAGCAGGGCTATTTTTTGTGTAGTTTTATGGCTTCTTTACAGCTTTCTTGTGTCTTTTTCGCAATGCAGCTGAGTTCTGAAATGTGGCCTCTCCACACAGGCCATTGACCACTTCCTTGTTCCAATTTGAGCTGGTGTCTCTTCCTCACAAGTGTGAGCTCACTGGTTAATGTAGTGCTAAACTGCTTTAAAAGTGTATGGTGAAATGAAGAAGTGCATGTCACACTGTTTAATCCTTAAGCCTTGTATCTGTACACAGTGTAGGTAATAGAAGGCACAGCAATTCATATAACTGTGCTAGAAAGGCAGAACAGAAAGACAGTGATGGGCCTACATTAGGAAGTGTGAGTTTAACAATCATGTGCTCACATTCCAGGGCTGATTAACCAGGTTTATACACATTATACTAAAATAGTGTAGCGTCTGTCCACTTCAGAAGTAATTATTGTTTCTCCACAGCACTGTTGCCTTTACACTTTTTTTCCATGTATGATGAGAGTGGTTGATCTCTGACTTGTCCTTTCTGTGGTCAGCTACATCTGATTCCGTAATGGGTATTTTATTGTTGCATTACAAAAATAGTATGCGGTAACATCAGTGAGATCATTTTTCTAAATCAAATTAGCCAACCTGTCAATAACATTATAAGCTCAGTTACATGTAACTATCTACCTCTTTCTAGTCATTCAGGAAAAACATTAGTTTACTATTTGTAAATTAATTTTCAGGTCTTTTTCATTTTTTAGATTGTTATTTATTATCAGTTGGTTGTATTCACAATATAACAAATGCATAATAATAATGATAATGTAATTGCCATGATTAGCAATCAGCTTTTGTTGCCTTTCTGTTAAAAAGCTAACTTGGAACAACCCATTTAAACTACCCTTTTTCAGATCTTTATTATAGAGCTGGGTAATGTGACTGTATATTATTGCTATTGAGATAAATGACATCAGGGTAAAAATTACATAAATTGCATCAGATGCTTTTCAGAGCATATCACTGATGTTGTCTTTACATAAAGAGCACTAACCAACTGCATGTTTTACTACAAAGAGAGCATAATTATTGCTTGTTTTTTGGATTTAGTGCAGCGTAGTATGTTAAACATTGAATAAAAATAATTGATACTGATAGCATTTTTAAAATGTCACACTACTACAGCATTTTATCTCTGCTAACTTATCAAACCTCACAATAACTATCTAAGTATCTACTAAGTATCATGATACATATTGTGAAAATGTCTTTAAGTGTCATGATAGTATATTTTTACCATATCACACACTCCTACTTAGATTTTTTTATTTAAGATAACTTATACACTCAAATAAGCAGCTGTAAGCTTTTAAATTCTGAAAAATAGAGCAGAAAAAGTAAATAGAGTAAATAAGTCATATTTAGCCTAATTATAAGTGGTTCAGCCAAGTTTATTGGAAAGGGATATCTACAGTGTTACGACTGAATGAAAGATTCAAATAAAAGATATTTTAGTCAGAAGCCTTTTTCATAACGTCTCAAATAGATTATTATTTAGGTAGGTTACATTTAAATACTGTTTCAACTGACTGCCAACCAAATCGTTCCTGATCACTGCATCCCTAACCACAGATGTCTGCATGTACGAGGTTGTAGAGTGCGTAACTTTGATGTCCATGCATGCTTATTAAAACATGTTAAATTGATCAAATCTAAAACTTTAGGTTTGAGTACAGGAAGGTCTGTGATAAGCAGGGATGCCCTCACCTTTTTGTGGCTGGATTTTAACCTCATTTTTAGCTCTATTCTGTATTCAGTGCCAGTAAAGAAGGAATTCAGGCAATCTGGGTGTTAGATAGATTTAAGCATTGTGCATATGTTTAGGTTTGACTGATATTTTAATCTGATTTTGATCTGATTTTTATCTGTGATGATGTATTTTTCGTACTCTGGAAAAGCAGAATGTTTAGGTGATGCTGGGCTAGTGCACTAAAATGTCTGTGTTTTATTCATTTATAGCATTTCTAATGTTATAGAAATAAATGTTATATTTCTCTTTAATATTAATCCATGTAAATGCAGTCCTAATGACGCCATTATATAAATGTCTTTGGTTCGGTATTGGCAGATGTAAACATGTAAAATAATAGATATCGACATCTGCCCATCATCAGTGAATCCCTAGTGTTTAATCTTTGGCCTTCACTTTAATCTGATAATGATTATATCACTGTTGTGTATTTTGCTAAATTCTCTACATAATCACAGTCTTAATCACAGCTAAGCCTATATAATGCATTTTCATTATATGGATGTAATGATTGTGCTCTATAAAGTAGTCAATCTCTTTGAAAGCTGTTGGCCTTTGCAGTACACATTTTAAACGTGGCTGAAACTCCTCCCAACCCAGATCTAATCAACTGTATGACAGACAATGTGGTTGGAGTTTTTTTTTTATTGTTCTTTCATTTGTAAGCTGTTTTGACTAAATTTTACATGCATGTACAAAACATTTTGGAATTCTTGTCTTTGTGAAAATTTGCTGAATGTATTATAGATAGACAACTTCAATATTTATTAATCATTTATATGAATCATATTGTAGTATGCTTTTGTATCATACGAATAGGTTCATTCCATGGCTAAAATATGTCTAATTCTTTTAATAAGCTGATTATGAGTGATTACTCACAAGTTGTCAAGTTCCATTAGGTGGGTGGACCTTCTAAAAGTGTGTTGGCAGAATGTGTGCAGTTCAAGCTGAGAACTGAGTTGAGCAAAACCACATCCGTAAAAGAGAGACAGAAAGAGTTCTTACACTGAAAGTCTAGTTTTCCCTTCTAAGTCTTGTAGGGCAGAGTGATACACTGAAACAACTCTCTCTCTATACATAGATGTTCTTAATGCATTTCTAAAAAACTTCTATTGTGGACTTCATTCCTAACTTGTACCCGTGGTTGACTTGCCATTTTTTTTACTGGTGATTTAAATGTGTGTTTGTTTGTATAAGTTGTTGTGTTCTTTGGCTGTTTCTGAATGTTTGTCAAGAAAGAAAAATCTCACCCCCAGTACAGGAATGTAAAATCTGTGAATGTACTGAGAATCCACTGTATGCATGTTAGTTTGCATTCACAAGTTTCTGGGAACACATAAATGAACTTTGCATTAAGCAGAACAAAAGAAAAGAAACCAAAGTGCATTTGACTGGGGATGGGGGTAGGTTTTAGTCAGCACGCAGGAAGTTGTGGTTAAAAAACTGAAATAGTTTTCGTGTGCTCTGTGTTGCTATGACACTCAGACTCTACCACACAAGACGCTGTTAATAACGCCCTTCCATTTTCTGCTAAATGACTAGTGAATTCAGAATTCGACATTTGTATACGGTCATGTCAGAGGTTTTCAAGGACATTTGTTTTTTTTCATAAGCCATTACAGCACATATATAATGTGGTTCACAAATAATCATTGTGAAACACTTTGATTGAAAGTCAGATATTCAAACCCCTTCTCTTTCCATAGGTATAGGATCATCAGCAGGTGAGTTATTGCTCGTATGTTCCTTTGACACCTGCTTTATTGTCTGTTTTGCCATTGCTTTGTGGGTTGGATGGCACTGAATTCTGATATGTTTGCTGTGCTAAAAGCTTAAGATTTTGACACATCAATTCTTCCACACATGTAGGCTCCCCTGCATCCACCACTGCACCTGTCAGTGTCAGTGAAGGTAATTCTGGCTCTACTCACCATACCACACCTTCTGTATCCATTCTGCATTCATCATCTCTCTAATCTCACACCTTCAGCCAAAATCCCACCACATTGATAAAACATTCTGTTAAATCATTCTGTGTGCAGTTAGCAACTGTATATTACTCAGGAATCTGTCATTCTAATGTGGGCATCACAAAATATAGTCACATTCAAAATGTGTATATCATAATACTGTATTTTCCAACAAGTAGAACATTGGCAAATTGGCCTTGGTTCTTATTATAGCATCTCTAAGCAAGAATAATATCACTCTGCTTGTTTCTGTAACCATTAATAAGGTTATTGAAAACCTTAGAACAGATTGTTTGTCTAGGACTTTTTGGGATCTTTTTTTAAGTTTGGACCTATTGTATAGTTTGTTCTCTTCAGCAATTATTTTGCATGAGCTATTTTAGTGCTGATTTTGAGGAACATTTGTGGAAAAAGTACAGACAATGTAATTGTAATTTATCATGCTGCCTCTAATCACAGAGCAAACACCACTCCCTAGTTTCCACTCACAAACTTTGCCTCAGTCATTAATTAAAGAGAAACTCATTCTCTCTCCGTAGGTGGAAATTCATCAGTTGGTAAGTTACTGCTCATGTTTCTTTGACAAGCAATTTTATTGTCTGCTTTGCCATTGCTTTCTGGGGTAATAGTAGCAAAAAAGTGAAGCTCTCTGGATCATATAGGTGACGTTTAATTCTGTCATAAATGTTTGCCATGCTAAACGATTATGATATTTTTCACATAGGCCAAAACTCAACCATTCCTCCCACGCAGCAAACCACCATTGCAAATACCCTTGCAAATTCCAGTAAAGGTAACTCACTCATCATAGCACACAGTCTTGCACTCACAATCTCCCCAAACTTCCACCTCCAGCCAAAATCCCACCACAGTGCTAAACCATTCAGAAATTGAATTTAGCAATGGTATATTTTTCAGGAACCTGTAATTCTGATATGGGCTATTACCAAATCAAGAGTTCATTTGCAAAAAATGATAATCGGCATCCTACACAACACTGCCATTAACTGTTTTAGAAAGAATATGCAGTACACAAAATTTCATAACTCACATAGTGCTCTATATCGGGAGCCGTGAGCCGTTTGAGATTCAGCCTTAGGATTTTCCCAAGTATGATCTTATAGATGTTTAATATTGCCCATTAATGGGCTGTTTGTGTTGCAATTTCAGCACTTGTTTTATGTTAAAGAATGATAAATATTGCATTTAAAAGAAACTTGTATCCATTATTGCTTTGTTTAATTCTGAAACATGCAATGACTATTGGAGTTATCTGCAAACTAAATTTAAATAAAAAAAAATCAATTTTGATTTTGTAAATTACTTGTATTTTATTAAGTAATCAAAACAGCCCAACTGCAGTTTGATTGATATTACCTGGAATGCACAAAAAATATGATTTATGAAACATGATTTATGAATTTTTTTATTAAAAAGATGTCTGTTTTTGCAAATGAACTCTTCAAATATAGTCATATCCGAAAGTTTTGGTAGTAAAATAATAACACTGCCTGTTCTGTAATGTTTAAACAAAAAATGTTTTGTAGCCCCTTTATCACCCATGTGAAAATGTAATTGCACCTTTAAATTTAATAACTGGTTGAGCCAGGGGTAGTGCCATACCTCCAAAAGTTCTCAGGCAAAATGTATTGCTCCCTCTTCCCCCCAAATCATACCTGATATCTCCTTTTTTATGATTTGTTTGTCAATTTGAATGTAAGCAGCCAGGTCGCTGATGTGTGGCCAAAAATACGTTGCATGATCCATGTGCCAAAATCAAACCCCTATCTTTGCTATTGTTGGTCTTATATTATTAACGGTAGCTCAAGCTGCAGGAAAGTATATGGCACAGATTTACCTATTACATACAGCATAAGAGTTTGTTCTTGTTGCAGTAGATAGTTATTGATTTATGAGGGCAATCTGACCAAAAAATTTCCTAGTGATGTTCACTTAATTACAAAAAAAGAGTGATCAGACCTCTTGAACTGAATCCAAGTACCCCAGATTCTTATGAGATACTTTACAAGCCTGACAAGTTTTATTTCCAACTGGAATTGCATATTTTATTTATTATGCTAAATAGAGAAGTAGATAGATAAGAACTATATTACTACTGAAGAAAGTTGAAGAGCTAAGTTCTTCTCACAGAAATACTCCAATCAAGACTCATCTAAGTAGCTCCTCTCAACACTCAAATAAACAACCGACTGAAATAAATGTTACAATTGGTAAAGTTTTCCACATATGAAATATGTTTATTGCAACTCTTTCAGTATGAGAAATAAGTACATTGTGCATAGCAATAAACATCTGAATGCATGTGTTGATGAAAGAAAGGGAGAAAGACATTAAGGAAAAAAACACCTTTTTTAGGGTTGGTTACAAAATTAAAATGACCTCTTAAACTGAAACTGAGTAGACCTACCCTAAGACCCAAATCAGCTACTTGCAGAGAAAAAGATCTTTTGTACAGTTTCCTGTGTACATTAGCTAACATCAGCACTAACCCAAAAAATGATACATTTTTATTGCACTTCATCCTCACGCACTGCACCCAAGCCCAGCACAACAGGGAACAACATTAGGAAATATGACAGAATTACCTATTGATTTATGAGGACAATCTGAGCAAAAACACCTTTTTCTAGGGATGATCACTGAATCGAATGGAATTGTGTCTCAACCCACTCTAAGTGCATACATATCTCCATTTGTTTCGCGTAAATAAATCAATGAGGTTTAGAACACGTTATGATTTACTTTAGTCTAGAAAAACAAAAATTAGTTTCTCCATATAATAGATGAATGGTGGGGCAGCTATTGTGAGTAAATGGAACCACTGAAGCCGACCAAATGCGGGGCTGTGTGAATCCTTAAAATAGAAATTATATTAATCCCAAAGGAAGCTGAAGCTGAAAATAGTGCAAACATGACTCTTCTAAGCAATTCCTCTTATCTACACTCAAAAACACAAGCCACCAACACAAATGTTACAATTTTTCCACATGTAAAATATGTTTATTTTAACACTTTTACATTTTTAAAAACGTTCTGTAATGTTTAACCCTTTAAAATCCCAAGCTTATTACATACTAAGACTCATTATTCAGTAACTTCAGGGCCTTCAGTGCAAACTGGCTGAGCTATTATTAGGATATAGAAATTTGTAATACAACTGTGGGCCTACATTTAGGGGTTAATACAGTTGCACATCATAAGGCATGATTCGTCTGGAGCCTCTGTTCTATATATAACCATTGGCTTTACAAAAGAACCCCTGAAGAACCAGTTTTAAGGGTATATCAGTTGTTCTCTATTCACTTAAGATTACAGTTGAATACAGGTTTCTGGAAGAGCTTTGGAGAAACATTAATTTTGCATTCAGTGAGCTATTTCAGTGTTGAGATATGATTGTGGTAACTGAATGGCTTTTGTAGTCATATATTCATTTATTATGCTTCTTCTAGTCACAGACAATAGCACAAACACCATTCTTCCACTCACCTCCCCGCTTCAACACTCAAGTTCAGCCCTGCCTACTGCAAAAACTACACCCTCTTTTACACTCAATTCCTTGCATCAAAAGCAACCGACAACTAAAATAACTGTTAAAACAGGTAATGATCCTCATTCATTCATTCATATGTTTATTTTTACACTCTTGGGGTGTTTTCAGACTTGGCAGGTTTGGTTATATTGCTTTGTTAGTGCAGTCTGTGTAAATTTTTGCACATGTAAAATATGTTTATTTTAACACTTTTATAGTACATTATGCATAGCTATACACTTCTGAGAGCATGTTTTGACTAAAAAAGAAACACAGAAGACCTCAAGAAAAAATGGCTTTATTTAGTCCAGCACAACAGGTAACAACATTAGCAAATATGACACAGAGTTGCTTAATACATACAGCGTAAGAGTTTTGCTCTTGTTGCAATAGATAGTTATTGACTTATGAGAGCAATCTGACCAAAAAAACATCTTTTTTCTAGGTATGATCACTAAATTACAACAGAGTGATCAGACCTCTTGAACTGAAAATGAATACCCCAGATTCTAAGAGATAGACAGAACTGCATTAATCCCTAAGGAAGATGAAGAATTAAGTTCTTACAGAAAAGAGTGAAAACATGACTCTTCTACACAACTCCCAGCTTAAACACTGAAATATGCGACCAACCAAAATAAAACAATTACAATTGGCAAAGTTTTCCACATGTAAAATATGTTTATGTTAAGCATTTTAGTATGACTTTTCTAAGGATGGTGTTAGAGTTATGTGCAATTTCCTGCATACATTAACTAATATCAGTTAACTTAAAAAACTATACATGTCTATAGAAAATGTCATAGCTGGTAAATCTGCATTGCACTTCATGTCCTTTTGGAATTTTTGACAGACCCAAACACCTCTGACCCTGCAAGCACTGAGTCCATCAAGACAGCAGCCTCACCCTCACGCACTGCACCTGAGTCTGACACAACAGGTAACAATACCAGCAAATATGACACAGAGCTCTTTTAATAGATTATTGATTTATGAGGGCAATCTGACCAAAAACACCTTTTCCTAGGGATGATCACTGAATTACAAAGGAGTGATCAGACCTCCTGAACTGAATCCAAGTACCCCAGATTCTAATGAGATACTGGACAAGGCGGAAGAGTTTTATGTCAAGTTATAATAATATATTCATTTATTATGCAAGATAGAGAAATAGATAGGTAAAAACTTTATTAATCCCAAAAAACTTAGAGAATTAAGTTATTCTCACAGAAAACAGTGCAAACATCTAAGTTCTTCTAAGCAACTCTGCACATCAACTCTCAAATACACAACCAACCAAAATAAAGAACATTTGGTAAAGTTTCCACATGTAAAATATCATTGCTGGCCAAAAAACAAGGATCTCCATTTTTCTGCATCATTTGAGCACTACAGCTGTCTTGTACATTGTGTGAAAGTTTTATGATGATTGGACCAATAGAAATGCTCCCGAGTTGCTTGCACTAACATCTCTTTACCTTATCTTACACTGAAAGTAAATAGCGCTTTTGCCTTCTCTTATGAAGTTGCCATTTTGGAGGTATTAGTTTTCTTTAGACAGTGACAAAGTGTTTTTATCTGAGCCCTTTAAGTATGAGAAATAAGTGCATTGTGCTTAGCTATAAACATCTGAGGGTATGTCCTGACAAAAAAACTGAAACTGAGTAGACCTACCCTGGGGCCTAAATCAGATACTTGTAAAGAAAAAAAAAAAATACAATTTCCTGCGTACATTAACTAACATCAGCACTAACCCAAAACATTATTTATGTATATAGAAAAAGTCACAGCTGGTAAATTTGGTAAACTGCATTTACTATTGAAATTGCTGACAGTCACAAACACCTCTGGCTCTGCAAGCACTGTGTCCATCGAGGCAACAGCCTCACCCTCACGCACTGCACCAAAGTCCAGCACAACAGGTAACAACATTAGCACATATGACACAGAGTTGCTTAATACATACAGCATAAGAGTTTTGTTGCAATAGATAGTAATTGATTTATGAGGGCAGTCTAACCAAAAAACACCTTTTTCTAGGGATGATCACTGAATTTCAAAAGAGTGGTCAGACCTCTTTAACTGAATATGAGTACCCCAGATTCTAATCAGATACTGGACAAGCCTGAAGAGGTTTTTATGTCCAATTGTACTTGTATATTCATTTATTATGCCAGACAGAGAAATACATATATAGAAATTATATTAATCCCAAAGGAAGCTGAAGTTCTTCTCACAGAAAA